AAAAAAAAAAAAAAAAAAAAACATTAATGGAATGAAGTTACGCAGATGAATACGCAACTATTATATATTTGCAGATGAAACAAAAATATTTAAAATGGTGGTACTAAGAACGTAAGAAGTTGTAGAGTGATTTAAAAATGGGTTAAAGGGTAGCATGAATGTAGATGAAGCTTGGTGTTGATAAAAGAAAGGTAACGAGCACCAAGGTAACCCCACGAAGGAAGGGTTAATTTCAACTCCTGATCCGCACTTTGATATAGCCTGAAAACCACCAAAAGAGCTAGAAACTGATTTGCACAGCTGACTGGATCGCACTGCTCAACTTGCAGTGCTGATCAAAAAGAACAAACAAAATATTTATTTGGCTGCACATATACTGAAAATGGTATCCTGCCACGTTCTTCACTCACACTTGCCATCTTGTGCTCAGCACTTCTCAAAGTGACACATGAGAAATAAGGGGCCCAGAGATGGATGACGTAGCTGACTGTGTGCATGGACTGACTACCAGCTGAAGGGGTGCTGAAAAGATCAGAATCCTTTAGTTTAGGGGAGATGAACAGGAAAGGACACCGCAGAAATAGACAGCTGGTGCAGAGACAAACATAACAATTGTATCCATGTCAAAAGCTAGGGCTCTAAGCCATGATGATGCAGCTGTTTCCTAGGCGTCGTTCCATCATAACACAAGTGTAACAAAACCACTCCGACTTTAGAAGTTGCTCAAGATTAGGAAGAGATTTACCAACTTTTCACTCTACAAGAGCACGCAGATGTAGCAGCTGTCCCCTAACAGCTAATATGCACTCTAGCAGCTCCCTCACCCCTTTTTAAAATGCCCAAAATGTTCCTTTGTCCAAGCCCTTGGGAAGGCAAGAGTAAAAAATGGACGGGCCGAGCTGTTTTACGTAACCCCAGAATCTCCCCTTCCAGCGTGCTAAGTAGGGCTGTGCGAAACGGCACTTTCCGCTCCGACTTGAGTTTTGAGGTTTCGACGGAACAGCGTTTCATTTTGAATTTCATTTCAATTCGAAAAAGCTGTTGTGCTTTGCTTCGTCGAAACGGTGAGGCTGTTTCGACGTTTCGCCCATTAGCTATAATGGGGAAGCTCGAAACAGCCTCTCTCATCTGGCA